GGCACCCTAGCCCAAAGCCTTGCTCTACAATGGGAGATTCTCAGTCGGTATTGCTTGTGGGGCTGGGCCATAGGATTTGGAGATAGCCACCCACCCTGCTGATGGTCTAGCTGGACCAGGAAGTGTTGTTGAGTGGTAAGCAACCTCTGGGGGAGGTGGTGAGTTGGAGCAGATGTATTCCTGGGCTTGGAGTTGGGGACCCAGAGCCCCCTCCCTGCCCTCCCAGGATCTTGGTCTCCTCATCCATAGAGAGAAGGGCTCAGGGCCTAATTGAAGAGTCTATGCCCTGATGCCAGAAAGTTAGTGGAGGTTTTGGCTCCTGTTACTTCCAGCACCCTTCCCATGAGCTGGGTGTGGATGGGGACAGGGCTTACACGTGCTGTCATTGGGCTCTGCTTGAGTTTTATACCCAGGACTTGCTCTGTAGGGAGTCACCAATCAAAACCTGCCAATGTGCTTATTCTAGGGCTGCTATTGAGGGTGTTTTCTGATTCATCACAGAGCCCTGTTATGAGGAACCACAGGAAAAATTCACTCGGTATTCAGTATAGGCAATTTGCATGAAGTTTGAGAAATGTATGCTTTTATATCATGGACATCTATTTTGCGCATGTGTGTACACATGTGCATATATGCATTCTTGCCTGATTATTTACATCTTTGTTTTGTCCACCATGAGCTCAAGGCTAAAACTGTGACACACAGCAGTGCAGGACTTCTTGATCCAGTTTACCTCCTCTGCCCCTCCACCGGCTCTAAATTATAATAATTATCATTTATTGGGCACCTCTGTGCAGCAGGTAAGATACAACCCTGTACTGGTTTCCTCATTTCCTTTGCACCAAGGTGGAAACTGACTTTCAGGACAGGGACAAGGTACATCACAGATCCCATTGCTTAGTGATGTCTGCTATAGGCACAGGAAGGGAAGTATTGGGGTGTATGCCTCATAGTTGCCTGTCCTCATTCATACAATGCATAATATTGTATGTGTTCATATTTTCTATTTAACCATACATAGTTTCATAAGCTGTCTTTAAACTTTTATGGAATAAGACTTTGCATAAAAAATGATAACTCATTACAAATAATTATCAGGTGCTTTAATATAGGTTATATTACTGTGTCCTCACCATATCTCTGTAGGAGAAAATGGGTGGGTCATTACAGAGGCAGAAACTCAGGTTCAGAGTCAGGACCATCGCTAGCCCATAGGGCACCTTTGCATGTATTAAAAAAATGTGCCCTCTGGGCGATCATGGCTTGGTGAGCAGAGCACAGGATGGATTTTAGCCCCATCCACCTCCTCACCCCAGGTGCCCTTGTTCCGTGCACAACCTGAATGACCACACACAGCGGCCCTATCAGTGTCTTGCCAAATCAGTTATATCCTCCACTCCAAATCCAGTGATCGTTTTACTGCACATGGCTCATAAGATGGATTTTAGCCCCATCCACCTCCTCACCCCAGGTGCCCTTGTTCCGTGCACAACCTGAACGACCACACACAGCGGCCCTATCAGTGTCTTGCCAAATCAGTTATATCCTCCACTCCAAATCCAGTGATTGTTTTACTGCACATGGCTCATAGACTACTTTCTGGGTCTCGGACACCTATTCAGGCTCCAGGATAGATGGCATATGGTCTTAGCCGAAGCGAGGAGGTGGAAGAAAGAGCAGCATAAACCACTCAGCCTATGTTTGTGCCACGAACAGGCAAGATCACTGCCGGTGACTGCTCTGGCCTGCCAGATTCCGATGAGGATCCCAGGCTATGAATAGTCCCAGTGAGGCCCCGCTGGACTCCCCCCATGCCTGGTCCTTGGCCTCCACCCCACGCTGACCACTGGAAAAACAGGGGTGGGGCTTTCTCCTTGGCACCCCCGTCCTGCACGTTTCTTCCCGCTAGCTTTCCGCCCAGGATTACCGCTGAGGTCGGGCTTCTGCACACTGCTGTCACTCGGGCCCCCACACGGGATGCTTGAAAAACATCTCTCTGAAAGCAGAGAAAGTGTGAGCCGTCAAGAAGGAGGGTGTGGAAGGAGAGAGGTCCTCGGAGGAGGGGAAATTTACAGCGTTTGTTTGGCCAGTGCTAAGGACATCGTGAGGCCTGCATAAAATGCCTTCCGGAGGTGAGCACAGGTATTTTACTGCCTAATATCAGATGTCAGCACTTCAGCACCCTTGGAGATTGTCTCCACCACCCCCCTCTTTTGATGATGGGGAAACTGAGCCCTAAGATGGAAATTGACTTGCCTAAACCCATATGGCTGAGCAAGATACCCCACTACCAAGTGTGGAGGCACTGAGTGTGTCCTCTGGGCTTCATGTCAGGGGGCACTGGTGGCTGCTCAGTTCGGCTCCACTAGCCACCAGCCTGCTATGTGCCAGGTGCTTCCCCAGATCCTTTGCCATTGTCTGTTGAGGACCACGTTTTGCAAATGAAAAAACTAAGGGTCAGAGAGCCTGGCTCACCTGCTGGAGGTCTTTCTCCACACCATGGCGAAGGAGAAAGCAAATGTCACAGTTAGGCATACAGCCTCAGGAGTCCAACAGTCTGGGTTCTGTTAATACCAGCACTGGCTCTGTGACCTTAGCCAAGTTACTTTGCCTCTCTGAGCCCTCAGTTTCCTCACCTGTAAGATGGGAGTGATAATTAGAAAGCTGCTATGAAGATCCAGTAAGACAGAGCACGGGAGACACTTAGCACAGTCTTGGGGTATATTTACGCTCAGTAAATTGTAGTGCCAATGTCAGTACGATTATCACTGTCAACATTATGAGGGGGTAGAGCAGACGTTTATTGAGTTGGCTGCAGGCACCCACCTTCTAGATTCCTTGGGGCAAATGGCCCTGCCTTCGTGTGTCATCTTCGTGATGATAGTGGCAGTGGGGGGTAATTCTAGGTGCTCCTCTCCCTGTACCTGAATAGAGGAGCCACAGCCATCCTCTCACTCCCAGTACAGCACACGACCCCGACTTGACCAGCTGCCTGTTGTCTGCTGAGTCTTTGAGTCTTGAGTGGTGTCCCAAGGTGAGAAGGAACAAAGGTTGGGGATTCGTTGCTGTTGTTATGGTTGTAGCAACATCCTGATCTGCCTTTTCCTGTGACCAGATGCTCATTTTCGTATCCATCCAGTGGCTATCCTGGGAGATCCACTCCGTGCCAGGCACTGGGCTGGGGGCCAGGACACAAAGGTGCCCTTGACCAGGAGAGTCCTTGCTCCCCTCATTCCAAGGCTTCTGGAGCCTTCCTGGGACCTGCCTCTCCTGAGCTCATGTCTCCAGCCTCCTGTTGGTTCAGAGAGTCCCTGCTCTTCTTCTAGTGCCTTCCCCTCTGCTTATGGCAGCTGGAGCTGACTTGGCTGCTTGGAATGAGAGAGCCTCAGCTATTTCCAGGCAGCGGTGGGCTTGAACTTCAAGCTTCTCTGCCTCTCAAGCCTGAGCTCTTTTCCGGGCATCTCCCTGCCTTCTAGTACCCACAGGAATCCTGATGCTCAAGCCCTGGGGACCCTAAGACCGACCTGGGTAGGACCAACCAAGTCACAGAATGTGTCTGAGAAGAACCAGGGTATGAGCAGTTTTGTGGCTTTGAAATGCCATAGACTTGCCCAACAGCAATGGTTTTCAAACTCCATCCCTTTGAGCTGTGGTGTTCTCACAGGTACCTCAGGGGTTGACGGGATTTGCAAGGGTTCAGGGGGCAGTTGAGTGCCAGGGTCCCCACAGCACCACTACCATGCCTGTCTAATCAGAGTGGCTCTATTTAGTGCAGTAGTTTAGATGCATGGGCTCTGGATTAGTGCTGCCCGAATCCCATCTCCACCGCTTATAAGCTGATGACCTTGGATAAGTCACTTATCACTCCATGCCTCAGTTTCCTAATCTGTAAAGCAGGAATGATGATACCTCGGGACGTGGCTGTGAGGACTGAAGGAATGTGTGCTGCAAAACGCTTAGAAGAGCACCGGCCCACGGTGAGTCTTCAATAATACTAGCTACTGGTCTACCTAATTCACGTATTAGCATTCAGTGGAATATTCCACAGGGAAAAAAAAAATCCTTTTGTTGCTAATGAAATGGTTGAAGATATCTGCCCCACAGCATTCACTTGGCCGTGACCCCCTGCACTTGCCTGGCTCTAGTGTCCTTCTCCAGGACAGTTCTCCTCCGAGGGATAACTTTCCAGCTCTAAAAACCCACTTCGGATTTGTGTGAGGAGTCACTCGTCACAGATGTTTCATCCTGGGCCATTTTGGGACATCTGGCCATGTGGTGAGCTTGGAGAAGCAGGTGGTAGTTGCCCCTGCTCTGGTGCTGAGCTGCCTGGGCAGTGAGAATCTGTTCTCCCCTGAAAGGTGGACCTTTAGTGCAGGCACCTTGGCTTTGCTGGGCCTAGCTTCTCCTTGGCTCTGGGCTCTGCTCCCTTCCTGAGAGGCAGGGGACCCTCCTCCAAACCTTCCCAGGGAGAGTAAGACTGTGTTGCTGGCCCTTTCCAGGAGAGGCACCTCCCCCGGTTTGTCTTGAGGAGGAGGATTTGGACATTGGCTCTCAGCAGATAGAGAGCAATCCAGCCCCTGATGTCCTCAAAACTTCCCCTTTCTCTCTTTGTCCAGAAATTGTGGCCAGGGGCTCCCGCAGGTGGGTTAGGACAGTGTCTGCCTGTGTCCACATAGGCCAAGCCTCTTGCACTGATGTCACTGAAGGTAGGACAATGAGGAGACCACAGCCAAATTTGTGTGGCAGGCTGAGGATCTCATCCTGGTCCCAAGCACCTTCCCCTTACTGGGCTTTCATTCCCTCCTGGGAAAGACTTATGCTTTGGGAAGCAGAGCCAACCCCTTGGCCTGTGCCACGTCCCAGGCCTGGTGCTGGGATGCAAAGAAGCAACCCCAGGTCCCCACCCTCAAGGATTCAAGTCGAGTGGACGATCTGATGTGTTACAATGTCCCTGCAAGGACGATGGCATGGGCTGGAGAGCACAGACACTGTATAGAAGAATGACAACTATATAATTTCCAAACATGGTGAGGAAGGGAGAGAAGATGGGGACATGGGAGAGAAAATGGGGACATGGAAGAGAAATTCTCACCTTCAATGATGAGGAGTCATTGTCTAAAGTTGACACATGAAGAAATGGAAGTGTGAGTGTGTTGTGTGTGGATATGGAGGAAACGGCCAGAAGAACCACAGCAAAAAGTAATGATATCAATACTACTGAGTGTTCACCATGGACCAGGT